CATCCCCTCCTCCTCGCTGTGCCCGTGCTGCTGTGTGCCAGCAGCTCACAGCCTGCTCCAGGAGCTCCTCCTCCTGCTTTGATCCCGCTGCAGCCGCTGTATCCTGATGCTGAGGAGCCCAAGGTCCCCTGCATGGGTTTGTAAGCGGGCAGACCTGCCCGACATCAGAGCACAGAGCTGACTGGGAGAGCAGGGACTCCTCACCCCCCACCAGCACCCAGCACCCCCCCGGAGCAACACAGCCTTGGGAGTCGCCCAACGCACACAGGCACACCGGCAGGTTTTCACTACCATTTCCACTGCTGGATTTTCTGCTCCCCACGTGCACAAAGGATGGTTTCATTCATCCTTTTCATCCCGATTTCTGCTACGAGCTCAGCGGTTCTGCCCTTCTTGGTGGAGTCTGTGTGATAGGACAAGGGGAAATGAGGGGCAAGGGGGAAAGAGGGGAGATTGAGACTGGACATAAGGGGCAAGGTCTTCCCCCACAGCTGAGACAGGGGAGGTTCTGTTGGATATGAGGAGGGAGTTTTTCATGCAGAGGGCGGTGAGGCACTGGCACAGGTTGCCCAAGGAGGCTGTGGATGCTCCATCCCTGCAGGCATTGGAGGCCAGGCTGGATGTGGCTCTGGGCAGCCTGGGCTGCTGGTTGGCGACCTGCACACAGCAGGGGCTTGGAACCAGATGAGCACAGTGGGCCTTTTCAACCCAGGCCATTCTACGATTCATGCTGAGGGCGATGAGGTTGCAACAGAGAGGTGCTGCTGCCCATCCCTGCAGACACCCATGCTCAGGGGATGGGGCTCTGAGCACTGATGGAGTTGTAGGGGTCCCTCCTCACGTGGGACCAGACGGCCTTTGAAGGTCCCTTCCAACCCAAACCGTTCCACAACTCTGATTTTAAGGCACCCACACCAGCACCAGGGTGGCACCCACAGCTGGCTGCGTCAGCCTCATACCCAAGGCCTGTGCTGTGCAGTCACCATGGCACACAGCAAACAGCAGTGGCACTCTTGGCTCTGATGTGCCCATAGGTATTTCCTACAGTCCCCACCACTCCTCTGTCTTTTAGGAAGCAGAGCATCAGACAGCGTACTCTACAAAAAAGCCCTTCTACTTGCAGACAGAACAACTCCTTCTTGCAAACAACCTGATCAGCCCCAAGGTCCCTCAATCACACAGCCCCACTGCAGCATCCGGACCCCAGCCATAAAGGTGCACGCAGACCCCCAGCCCACCCCACAGGATGGCACCGAGGCACAGGCAGCACTGCATGGCCCCATGCTGCCAATGGGCAGCAGGAGGCTCAGTTGGGTGGTGGGGGGCTCTGCTGGGTGGGAGGGGGCTCAGTTGAAAAGCAGGAGGCTCACTTGGGACGTGGTTGCTCAGTGGGGGAGTGGTGGTTCAGTGAGGTGGTGGGGGCTCAATGGGGTGGTGGGGGCTCATTGGGGTGGTGGGGGCTCAGTGGGAGGCTCAGTTGGGATGTGGTTGCTCAGTGGGGTGGTGGTGGTGGCTCAGAGGAGTGGTAGGGGGGCTCAGTGGGGTGACGGTGACCCAGTGGAGAGATGGGGGATGCTCAGAGGAGTGTTGGGGGCTCAGCTGGGCAGTGGGAGGCTCAGCTGGGGGGCGGATGGCTCAATTGGGTGGTGGGAGCTCAGATGGGTGGAGGGGGTTCCGTTGGGAAGCTGGAGGCTCAATGGGGCGGTGGGGGCTCCGTTGGGATGCGGCGGCTCAGAAGGGTGGTGGGCAGCTCAGTTGGTTGTTGGGGGCTCAGTTGGGTGGAGGACGGCTTATCTGGAGGCAGATGGCTCAGTCAGATGGTGGGAGGCTCAGTTGGGCAGTGGGGGCTCAGAGGGGTGGTGGGAACCCAGTGGCATCTGTTGGCCACAGCTCGGAGCCACCACATCCCCACCTCACCCTGCTGCAGACACATCTGCATCCCGCAGTCGCTTACGTGTGCTTGTGCCACGCTGAATTCACACCAAACCCCACAAAAATGGCCCAACACAACCCCTCTCCGTCAGCCTTCCTTCTCACCTTCAGCCCTGGCTGGGCAGGAGTCCAGGAAAAAGTTTGCCTCTCTCTCTTTTGTAATAGGAAAATTTATTCCTCGGTTTCCCTTGGCTTAGCAGAAGAATCAATGTTCTGTGCGCTGTTTTTCAAGCTCTTTCCTCATTTGCATTAAGGCGATAACAAGGCAGAAAATATTATCCTGAAGCCTCCAGATTGAGAAGAGGGACCACAGAACCTTCATGAAGCCACAGAGGAGGACGAGCGGCTCCATCCCCCAGCACAGGGACACCCCAGGCCCCCCGCAGCCTCACGCAGGCAGGACCCCCCCCCCCCCAGCACAGACCCCAGTGCAGGAAGGATGCATCACTGCAGGACATCCTTCCACAGGATGCAGGCAATCTGGCTCCTCTGGGGCTTCCCCAGCTGCCACGCAGCCCACGGGCCGTGCTGCAGCATGAGCTCCTGCACTAACTGCCCTTCTACCTGCTGTCAGGCCATGGGTGCGAGCTGCCCCAGCTCCATTCAGCCTCGGGGGGTCTCAGCAGAGTGCCCACCCTCACAGCAGCTTCTGGGCGATACCTCAGCACTCTGTGATCCAGAGCGAGGAAATGCTTTGCAAAACCCTTGTGGGAAGAGAACGGAACGGGGACGGGAAATGTAGGGTGCTGCGAAAACACCCGGCTGAGCAGAAAGCCTTGCAGGCCACAGGAGCTCTCTGCAGCACACACAGCTGCAGGCACTGCATGGCTCCTCACCGCAGTCCCAGATGCTGCGCCGTGGAGGAGCAGCGCTGAGCACTGCCCTCTGCCACCCCACCTCCACCCCGACCCCTGCAGGGCATCCCGTGCCCACAGCCCCACGCATCCTGCCCTTCACAAAGGGATCGTTCACAGCCTGTAATCAGCAACCCGAGGGGTTTGCTGCTTGGTTGTGAAGCTGGGGAATGCCCCGGTTCCTTCTGCAAAGCATGAAGAGGGCTCTCCTTTTGGTCACTGAGCCTCTCCATCCCAGTGCAGCCCCTCCGCTTTCAGTCCTGCATCCCCCTGCCGCATCCCCACCTGCTCTCTGCAGCTGTGTCTGCAGTTGGAAACCGCCTTGCAGTCCCTCCTATCCCTCCTATCCCTCCCGTCCCCCTGGGGCCACTCTCCAGCTCCTGCACGGTTGCAGAGCAGCTTCACCTCTCATCCCACACCGCTCCCCACTGCAGGCCGCTCAGAGTGTTTAACCCGAGGCGCCGACCTGCCGTTAGGACGCAAAGCGCCGATTGCCTGAAAAGCGTGCCCTCCCCGACGCGAGGTCGCCTCCCGCGGTGGAGATGCGCTCCTAACAATGGAGCCCACTAACGGTGAATTCAAAGGCTTTCAGCTGCACAAAAGAAGTGATGGAGAGTTGCAAAGGAACCTAAAAGAGCCTTGGAGACAACCCTAGGAGAGCCGGGAAGCTCGACTTGCAAACTCGAGGGCCGGTCCCGCCGCCACGCTGGAGCCGAGATGCCAGCATGCCGTGCTCCCATCCGCAGCCCTGCTCCACATCCCCATCGCACAGAGCAACGTCCTCAGCATCGCAGCTCCCCAGAGGCTCCAGCTCTTCTGGCTCCCAAAACACAGCTCAGAAATGTTTCATCAGCTCTTGGAGAGGCATCGACAGGGAAGTGAGATATGGGATGGGAAAGCCCACTTCATGCACGCCAAGATGCTCGGCTTTGCATGGCACAGCCCGCTGCCCCCACAGCTCGGGGGCTTGAGTCTGGGACAGCCACGTTGCCTCACCTCACCCCAGCCCTGGATGCAGCACAGGATTGCAGGGAGAGAGGGGTGGGAGGATGGCACAGCACCAGGCTGATCCCAGCACCACACCGACCTCGGCACCAGGCTGACCCCAGCGCTGACCCCAGCACCACACCGACCCCAAAATCACACCAGCCCCATCAGCAGGCTGACCCCAGCACCCAGCACACTCCCCAACACACCAAGCAGGAGTGGGGTGCAGACAGTGCCCAGAGAACAGGGAGGCAGAGAGATGGACACCACGCAAGATCCTTATGGCTGTCCCCCTCCCCAGACCCCGTACCACGCTGTGTCACACAGCAGGGTTGCAGCAGGATGGGGACCGGGTCCTCCACGCCTCAGTTTGTGGGCAAGGGAACGGGGCCGAGGGAGGAGGAGCCGGTGTGGCGGGGCTGGCAAGGGGAGCTGAAAGCCGGTCCCCGAGGTCATTGCTACGGGCTGCAGAGGAGCAGCGCGGCACCCATCCGATCCAGAGGCAGCGCAGCCCCTCCTGCCCCCACCAGGCGAGCTGCTGCCCCAGCACTGCGCCCTCATTAGATCCACCGTGACTGCAATCCTTCTGCCCTGACCACAGCTTCCCCCGAGCACCCGCTTCTCCCCGCGCCCTCAGCACCACCCGCTCTGTCTCAGCTCCCCATGGCGCACAGCTCGATGCCCGCTGCCACCTCAGCTCCGGTCCGGTGACACGCGTCCATTCCTCCTGCCGCACTGCCGTCCCCGCACAGGGGCACCCCGCACCATCCATCACCATCCCCAACGCCGCAACACCGCAGCACCAGCCCGGTACCCGCGGCACAGCCGGCGTCGGAGCTGTGCCCCCTCCCCTCCTCCAGCCCCGTGCCCCCTTCCCGGGCAGCTGGCGGTGCGCTGCCGGCCCCGGAGCGCAGCGGGGAAAGGGTTCGCCGCAGCCCTGTGCGTCCCTGCGCGGCTCCGCGAGCAGCGGGAGCGGGGAGGTGGGGAGCGGGAGAACGCAGCAGCACCGGCAGCGCAGCAGCACCGAAAGCCGTCCTGCCGGCCCCGTACGCGGCCGCGGCACAGCGAAGTTTGCCGGGCAGCGTCGGAGAGGGGGGTCGGGGACGGGTGCGGTGCGCGGCGGTGCGGGGTCAGGCGCAGTGTGGGTCGGGGCCGGCAGCGGTGCGACGCGGTGCGGGGCTGGGAGCGATGCGGTGCAGTGCGGGTCGTGGCCGGGCGCGCACTCACCGTCTGCTGGAGGTCGGGGATGCCGATGCGGACGACGATGGCGCCGGGCGCGGGCTCCTCCATGCGCGCCGGGGCCGCCAGCTTGGGGGAGCGGGGCCCGGCGGGGCCGCGGATCGGGTCCAGGCGCGTCTCCTCCCGCAGGCCGGAGCCCGGCTCCCCGGCGGAGGCTCGGGGCTGTCGCTCCGGTGGCGGCGGCGGCTCTGGTGGCGGCGACTCCGGGCTCTCATGTTTGCTGCCGGCGGGGCTCAGAGGCATGCTCCGTGCGGCGCGGCGGGGCGGCCGGCACCGGCACCGGCACCGGGGGCCGCGCTCACAGCCCCCCCGGGGGCCCTGAGGGAGACAGGCGGTGAGTGGGGACCGCGCCGTGCATCCCCGGTGGGACCCCCTCTTCTCCCCCCCCCCCCGGCACACGGGCGACCCTCACGCAGAGACCCCAACCCCCTCCCGTCCCCCCCCCCCCGCTATACAGAGGGATTCTCATTTTGGGTCTCTCCGTGAGGAACCCGACCCCGCAAAGCAGGAATCGTTGTGGGGGCACCCCTACACCCCATGGCAGGGATCTCACAGGGACACCCCCAATGGGGATCTTCAAGCCCAGGGTCTTGCGCAGGACCGTCCCCACCCCACAGGGGAATCCCCATCCCAAGGACATTTTGGGGATGCCCCACCTCGTCCCTGGAGGTGTTGGAGGCCAGGTTGGATGGGGCCCTGGGCAGCCTGGGCTGCTATGACATGTGGAGGTTGGTGGCCCTGCAGGGGGGGGTTGGAGCTTTGTGATCCTTGAAGTCCCTTCCAACCCGGGCCATTCTGTCATTCTGTGATTCTGTGACCCCACTGATGGCCCCCTCCCAGCAAAGGGCCAACCTCCATCCTGTGTAGGTGCCAGGGTGGGCATCGATCCCGTGGCAGTGACTCGCACTCAGAAGAGACCCCTCCTCATCCCAGGGAGCAGGCAGCCCCACCACAGACACAGGGACACCCAGAGCATTGGGGCCGGGCACAGTGCTGGGGGCAGAGCGCACATCCCAGGCTCTGCTCCTGTGCCCATCAGCTTCCTTCTCTCCGTGCCATCACCCACGTGTGTGCCCCTTCCCATCCCCACACCACCACCACGGTTTCTGCCCCATCTGCAACGCTGGTTTTCCATCTCCACCCCCACACCATCACTCCTGGAGGGGAGTCCAGGAGTCCATCCCCCTTGAAGGGGATCCCCATGAAGGAGGCTGGATACCAGCAGAACAAGCAGGGCTCAGCACTTTGCCTTGTGTTACAACACAGCCTCGGTTCCTGCCCCACAAACTGTTCCTCCTGTGGGTGCCCAAGCGCTGCACGCTGTGAGCTCCCTGAGGCTGTCAGTGCTGGGACGAGGCCATGCACACCAACCAACACGCACCCAAATTTGGACAACAGCGCACAGCAGCACCCAGCTTTGGGGACAGACAGATCTGCCCCAGTGGGAGCTGCCACCTCCAGGCTCTGCTGGCAGCACGGCTGCCGTCAGCTCCCACACGTGGAGCACAGATGCAAGCAGCCACATCATGGGCTGCTATTTCTGCCCGTTCTCCTGTCAGGGAGAGCTCCTGGCAGTCAGGTCCTCACCCCCGGGCAGGAATGGGGGCTGCCCTGCCAACAGCAGATGGATGAAGGCTGAGCCCTGCAGGACTGTGCATGGGGCTGCGTCCGGTCCGTGGCTGGCTGGGATTCAAGGCTTTAATCTAGATGACAATCCTCAAACAGAAATAGCCCCCAAACCACTGAGAGCTGAGAGATTTACGGTACGGCCTGGATCTGTCCAGGAAATGAGTAATGGTGCTTCCTCCAGCCCTCCCACCCCAGCCAGAGCCCTGCTCTGCGAGCAGCCTGGCCCCCAGCACTCCCCTCTGGAACTTCATCAGCTCCAAGCATCCACAGCAACAGAGATGGAAACAGAGAGGCTGCACCCGGGGACCCAGAGCCCTGGGATACAGCAGGAGCCCGAGGGGTTCTGGAGCATGAGAGCAGCACCAGCCCCAAAACTGAGATGCTGGGTCAGGGGTGATGAATGAGAACACGTCAGGAGCAACTGGCCCCATCTCTGGGCTCCTGCCACCCACACCTTCACAGCAGTGCTGGAGAGCTGTGGCTCAGCAGCTTCCCTGCAGTACAAGCTGCCCTCATCCCCAACACGGCTCTGGATGGGAGCACAGTGACATCAGTTTCAGTCACCCCCAAGCATAAACCGGCTCTAAGGTGCGAGTTTATGCTCGTGCCCAGCAGCACAGAAACCCCAAAATGTCCCAGTGGGGCTGCCTGTGCAGCAGGGCCTCTCCTGGGGTGTGGGAATTGCTCCCTGCAGGGCAGTCAGTGGGGCAGACAGAGGGGATGGGAGCAATGGGAGGTCGCCATGCACAGCGCAGGGTCTGCCAGGCTCTGGGTAAAGGCACGTGGGAGCTGCTTTGGAGAGCTCAGCAGGGCTGAGAGATCGTGGCTCTGGGACCAAGGCTCTGCAGCTCATCAGCAGCAAAGGTGAGGGCTGTAGAGAACAGGCCGGGCTCTGGGCTGTGAGTCAGGGGATGAGGTGGGGTTGGAGAGGGGAGGAAGCGGATGGAATGGCCGTGAGTCACTGTGAGCCCAGCTGAGACCTCCGGCAGCTCAGGAGACAATGGAGTCCGAACGGCCAGGAAGGGAGCAGGCAAAAATATCTTTGGAACAAAGGGCAGAGGGCAAAAAAAAAAGGGGAAGCAGAGCAGGGAGTCAGCAGTTGAGGCTGCATTTGGTGCAGGAATGACTGGAGGCCGGGAGGAGAAACCCAGAGCTGCGATGCTCCGGGCACCAGCAGCTCCGCATGCAGGGTCAGCCTCTGCTCCCAGGGAGAAGCAATGGGGTGAGAGAGGATGGGCTCAGGGTGCAACGGGGAGGGCTGGGTTGGAATTGGGAACAACCTGTGCTGCAAAGAGCCGTCAGCACTGCACAGCTGCCCAGGGCAGCCCCCATCCCTGGGGGTGTTCAGTGAGCACAGGGATGTGGCACTGGGGGGACGCGGGCAGTGGGATGGGTTGGGGTCGGATTGGGGATCTCAGAGCTCTTTCCCAACTTCAGTGATCCTACAGGGCTCTTCCAACCCAAAAGAAGCTGAGGAGCAGCAGGAAGTCCTGCTTCTACAAGGAAGGAAGCCCGGAGATGACACAGGGGAGAGCTGTGCCGCGTGGCTGCAGGGGGACATCAGCGGTGCCACATCTGCTCCTCTCCGCTCCGTTCCGTCCTTGCTGTTCAATGATTTTCTTTCCTTTTCTTTTTTTTCTTTTTTTCTTTTTTTTTCCTGCCTCGTTATTTCACCACGGGGAGAAATTAAACGCTCCAGATGGTAATTGGCTGTAATATTCTGGCTTCACCCCCCCCCCCCCCAAGTCTCAAATCTTCTGCTACCTCATTAGCTCCCAATAATGTTTCAGATCCGAGTGATTGGAAAAAACGCATCCCCCCCCCCCCCAACTCTATTACAGACTTGCAGAGTCATTCACATTCATTTTCTCTTATTAAATCAACTTCTCTGCTGAAGGAAAAAAAAAAAATCACTTATCTTGAAAAAAGACTCAAAATCTCAGAAATTATAATCCAATGAGTCTTATCCTAACGCCGGGACAAATGGATGAAAAGCCATCAAAGAGAGCTATAAAATCTTTCAGGAAGATTTTATAGTGACAGGAACAGATCAGTAATGCTTCTGCCAAAGGAAATCACTGCTCAGCAGTGGGGTTTGGGTGGCAGCGAGGTGACAGCCCACATAGAGCCACTCATTGGGACACCCCGACACCCACTGCGATGACAGGCTGTGCAGGGCTGCTGCAGCCACCTCTCCTGTCCCCTAATTACAGCCTCTCTTCATCACTCCCAATGTCATTGGATCATTGAATCGTGGAATCATTCCAGTTGGACAAGACCTCTAAGATCAGCCAACCTGACCCCACAGTGCCCACTGACCGTGTCGAAGGGTGGTGGGATCCAGAATAGTGGGATCCAAGGGTGGTGATGGGATCCAGAGTGATGGAAATCAGGGTAGTGGGACCCAGGGTGGTGGGAAGAAGGGTGATGGGATCCAGGGCAGCAGGATCCAGAGCGATGGGAGCCAGGATGATTGGACCCAAAGGGTGGTGGAATGATGAGTGATGGGACCCAGGGTGGTGGGAAGAAAGATGATAGGACCCAGGGTGGTGGAATGATGGGTGATGGGCCCCAGGGTGATGGAACCCAGGGTGTTGAGACCCCGGGTGGGGGAAGAAGGGTGATGGAACCCAGGGTGGTGGGATCCAGGCCAGTGGGATTTAGGGTGATGGGATCCAGAATGATGGGACCCAGGGTAGTGGGAAGAAGGGTGATGGGATCCAGGGCAGCAGGATCCAGAGCGATGGGAGCCAGGGTGATTGGACCCATGGGGTGGTGGAATGATGAGTGATGGGACCCAGGGTGGTGGGAAGAAGGATGATAGGACCCAGGGTGGTGGAATGATGGGTGATGGGCCCCAGGGTGATGGAATCCAGGCTGGTGAGACCCAGGGTGGTGGGAAGAAGGGTGATGGGCCCCAGGGTGGTGGGATCCAGGCCAGTGGGATTTAGGGTGATGGGATCCAGAATGATGGGACCCAGGGTGGTGGGAAGAAGGGTGATGGGATCCAGGGCAGCAGGATCCAGAGCAATGGGACCCAGGGTGATTGGACCCACAGGGTGGTGGAATGATGAGTGATGGGATTAAGGGTGATGGGAAGAAGGGTGATGGGACCAAGGGTGGTGGAAAGATGGGTGATGGGCCCCAGGGTGATGGAATCCAGGCTGGTGAGACCCAGGGTGGTGGGAAGAAGGGTGTTGAGACCCAGGGTGGTGGGATCCAGGCCAGTGGGATTTAGGGTGATGGAATCCAGAGCGATGGGACCCAGGGTGATTGGACCCACAGGGTGGTGGAAAGAAGGGTGATGGAATCCTGGGTGGTGGGATCCAGGCCAGTGGGATTTAGGGTGATGGGATCCAGAATGACGGGACCCAGGGTGGTGGGAAGAAGGGTGATGGGACCTATTGGTGGTGGGATCCAGAATAGTGGGATCCAAGGGTGGTGATGGGATCCAGAGTGATGGAAATCAGGGTAGTGGGACCCAGGGTGGTGGGAAGAAGGGTGGTGGGACCCATGGTGATGGACCCAGGGTGATGGGATCCAGATGATGGGACCCAGGGTGGTGGGAAGAAGGGTGATGAGACCCAGGGCAGCAGGATCCAGAGTGATGGGACCCAGGGTGATTGGACCCACGGAGTAGTGGGAAGAAGGGTGATGGAACCCAGGGTGATGGGACCCAGAGTGATGGAACACAGGGTAGTGGGACCCAGGGTGGTGGGAAGAAGGGTGATGGGACCCAGGGTGGTGGGATCCAGGCCAGTGGGATTTAGGGTGATGGGATCCAGAATGATGGGACCCAGGGTAGTGGGAAGAAGGGTGATGGGATCCAGGGCAGCAGGATCCAGAGCGATGGGAGCCAAGGTGATTGGACCCACAGGGTGGTGGAATGATGAGTGATGGGATTAAGGGTGATGGGAAGAAGGGTGATGGGACCAAGGGTGGTGGGAAAGATGGGTGATGGGCCCCAGGGTGATGGAACACGGGGTGGTGAGACCCAGGGTGGTGGGAAGAAGGGTGATGGGACCCAGGGCAGCAGGATCCAGAGTGATGGGACCCAGGGTGATTGGACCCACAGGGTGGTGGAAAGAAGGGTGATGGAACCCAGGGTGGTGGGATCCAGGCCAGTGGGATTAAGGGTGATGGGATCCAGATGATGGGACTCAGGGTGGTGGGAAGAAGGGTGATGGGACCTATGGTGCTGGGACCCATGGCAATGGGACCCAGAGCAGTGCATGAGGAAAGGGCTTGAAGAAAACAAGCAGCCCAGGGCATGGAAGGGCAGGAAAGGCAAAGTGGGAGGTAGGGTTTCCGGCATGGGGTGAAAGCCCAACTCCACAGTGGGGTCACAGGGCTGCTCTCCCTGTCCTCAAGCCAGGGCTGCTGCAGCCAGGGGCCACTTCTGCAGCCATTTTTCCAAACTCTGTTCTCTGGGCCTCCTCTCATCCTCTTTCCTCTTCCTGGAAAGCTGTTTCAGATCCTTGTCTGATATGATGGAGCACGATGGCCTAATTTCTAGCCCACACATTCACGGCTAGTTTCCCCTATCCACGTGACAGCATTATCTGGCGGCCGGCACAGATCCTCTCCCCTCCTTTGTTTGCATGAGCATCACAGGCAGCACTCAGACCCACACTCCAACTTCACTCTGCAGCCTGAGCAGCTGCTGCAGTGTCCTCCTGCACAGCAGAGCTCTGCTCTGACTGGGGCTGCAGCCCTGGGGCTGCTCTGGGCACACGCAGGGAATGAAGCAGAGCTCCAAAGGAGAGCCTTGCATGGCTTCTGTAGCTTGCTGGGCTTCAAACCCACACCATCCCCATGCACATCACAGGGAGCGCTCAGCTCTGGTGCGAGCAGCGGTCTTGCAAACATTCTGCTGTGGAGCAGAGGAGAGGAAACAAGGATAATAGCAGCTGGAAGCTCCACAGCAGCAGCAGCAATGTTTCCAGGCCAAGGGAAAGCTTACAAGTACAACGTGGGAGCAAAAGGGAGCTCCTTTGAGAGCAGGCAGACATCTCATGGCACGCCGGTGCCAGGGCAGGTCACAGGAGAATGCAGGTGGCTGCACTCCAGCACAGGTGCTGCATTCCTGGGGGAGGTGGCAGCAGCAGGACCTGGCTTTGCTGCTCTGCAGGAGATGTGTGTGCCCCAGCTCTGCCCCATGGCCACACATCTCCTGCAGGACATGAGCTGCACCCCGTCCCGGTGCTCCAGAGCTCCTTGTGCAGCACTGAGGGGTGTGGGTAGGGGCAGCAGCACTGCAAGAAGAACCAAGGGGAAGCTCAGGGTGATGCCAGGGGATCGCTGCCAGGTGGGTACAAAGAAGTGTCCCCATGCCCTGGGGTAGAGCTGCTGCTGGAAGGGTCAACAAGTTGAAGTTGCACCCAGCTCCTCCAGGGCAGCACTCAGAGAGCTGCTCTGGGGATGGGGCAGCACAGCCACCACCTTCACCAGGACGGGGCAGCACAGCCATTATCTGCACCAGGACAGGGCAGTAGAGCCTCCACTTGCACCAGGATGGGGCAGCACAGCCATTATCTGCACCAGGACGGGGCAGCACAGCCATTATCTGCACCAGGATGGGCAGCACAGCCATTATCTGCACCAGGATGGGGCAGCACAGCCACCACCTGCACCAGGACGGGGCAGCACAGCCATTATCTGCACCAGGATGGGGCAGAACTGCCATTATTTGCACCAGGATGGGCAGCACAGCCATTATCTGCACCAGGATGGGGCAGCACAGCCATTATCTGCACCAGGACGGGGCAGAACAGCCATTATCTGCACCAGGATGGGGCAGCACAGCCATTATCTGCACCAGGATGGAGCAGCACAGCCACCACCTGCACCAGGATGGGGCAGAACAGCCATTATCTGCACCAGGACAGGGCAGTAGAGCCTCCACCAGCACCAGGACGGGGCAGCACAGCCATTATCTGCACCAGGATGGGGCAGCACAGCCATTATCTGCACCAGGATGGGGCAGAACAGCCATTATCTGCACCAGGACGGGGCAGCACAGCCATTATCTGCACCAGGATGGGGCAGCACAGCCATTATCTGCAACACGAAGGGCAGCACAGCCACGATCTGCACCAGGACAGGGAAGCACAGCCACCACTTGCACCAGCATGAGGTGACAGACCCCCTGATCCCCCCAACCTGCCCCATCAGCCCCATGCTGCAGACTCAGAGCCCCAGGCAATGCTCACCCCTCCGGAGCCAGCAACCAGCCCCTGCTCCAGCAGCCGCCCGGCTCCCAACAGCAGCACAAAACCCAGCACTGTGTGCAGATGCTGTGCAAACTCCTCGTCACCCCTATTCTCCCCTGGTCCAGGGGACCCCAGGGTCACCTTGAGCCCCCCCCCCCCCCCCCCTCTATGCGTCCGCAGGGACTCAGGCCTCACCTCAAAGGACCGGGGAGCCTCCGCTCGCGCTTGGCTGGCGATGCCCATGGGACACGCAGTGCCTGGCTCACACACACACCAGTTACTGATTTACCAGGGGCGGCTGCAGCTGCAGCTGGAGCTCGGTCGATGGCTGTGGGCGCTGCGGAAGGCTTGGCCTTCACCGGGGGGGATGGGGGCAGGGGGGGATGGCACCGCTTAACCCCAGCGTGGGGCTGAGAGCTCGGTGTGCCATGAGGCTGCCGAGGCTCCTGCATCCCAACGTGGGCTGCTCACTCAGCCCCTGCCTGCACCAGCACAGCCCATCATCCTCCAGAGGTGATTAAGGCACCAGTGTGTGCAGGCTCTGCATGCAGCCCCATCCTCGGGCCATGCTGTGTCCATGCCCACCCCGTGCTGAGGTGCAGGACAGGCATTGTGTGAGCAATTTGTCCCAGCAGCTGTCTGGGTGTCTGCTCCTTGCCTTGCAGGCAGGCAGCTTGCACAGTTTTCCACACAGAGGGCGGTGAGGCACTGGTTGCCCAAAGGAGGTTGTGGCTGCCCTATCCCTGCAAGCATTCAAGGCCAGGCTGGATGTGGCTCTGGGCAGCCTGGGCTGCTGGTTGGCGACCTGCACACAGCAGGGGGTTGGAACCAGATGGTCATTGTGTTCCTTTTCAATCCAGGCCATTCTATGATTTGTGGCTCATGCTGCGATACAAAGCAGGGCAGCCAGCTCAGCCAGGCTCCCACCACCACATCAGAGGGGGTAGCACAGAGCTCAGCACCATCACAGCCCCTCCAGCCCTCGACTGTCAGGGCTGCTCTCTGCTTGCACCCAGCAGAGGGATGACGGCACATCCAGGAGAGCTCTCAGCATCTCCTTCACCCAGGAACATAGGACAGAGACGGGCTGAGCAAAACGTTGTGCCTGGCTGGGTGGTGGGAACACAGCAGCGCACTCACAGCCCCACAGAGCAAATGAGGAGAGAGGGGAAACAGGAGAGGGAGAGGGGCTGGCTCGCCAATCAGCCTGCGGTGGCCACAGCGTCCTCCAGGCTCCATGGGTAATTCTGCTGCCAATAGATTTTCCCTCTCTCTGCCTGCCAGGGTTACTGGGTCACTGGGGATGGGCGGAGGGGTAAAGGCCATTCCTGCAGCATTTGGGAGCCCACGGCTCCAGTGCTGTCCTTCTCAAGGTGACAGCGGTGCGGTGCAGACCCCCAACCGGGGGCAGCAGGAGGAGCAGCACCCAGCACTGTATGAAAGCACACCCAGCAACACCGGGCTCTCCTGTGCTCCAGTGCTTAGCAGAGGGAGCAGGGAACCCTGAACAGCCCCAGCTCAGAGCTGTGCAGGTGGCCAAAGTGCACTGCAGTGCAGTTTGCCGGGGATCCCTCTGGCACAGCCCTGGAGCAGCAGGCACCTTGTTTCCCAGCCAGCCGTCCTGCTGTCCCCTGCCACCTGCCCACAGAAAGGCAGAAAGCCCTCTGTCCACATCTCTGTACGGCCTCCGAAATCCAGGCTTGTGCCACAGACCCCTGGAGCTGCTGCTTGTGCTCTGGCTGCTTCCCCACCCTGTCTGAACAGGTCCAGGACTGGCACAAGAGCAGCTGCACCTCAGGCAGTTTGGGGCTGGGAGCATCCTGGTCTCATCCCTTCGCCTCTGGGTTCCACTCAGGGTGGAGAACCTCCTCCCAGATATTTCCTCTCTGATTCATCTCCCCAAGTTCACCCCCTTGTGAGGAGATCACAGAATCACAGAATGGCTGCTGCTGGAAGGAACCTTACAGGCTGTAGGATCATAGAACCACGCGTGACCCAACCTGCTGGTCACACTTCTCTTGGTGCAGCCCATGATCTGCTCAGCCTTCTGGGCTGCCAGCACACACTGCCAGCTCACGTTGTGTCTTTCGTCCACTGACACCCAAAAATCTTTCTCAGGGCTTCTCTCAAGCCATTTGATCATCTGATTCCATGCCCTGCTATGGGCTATGTGCCCCCACCAGCTCGTCTGCCCAGGGCTCCCCCCAGCCTGGCTTTGAGCACCTTCAGGGTTGGGGTAATCCTGCCCTACAGCCCCTGCTATGTCAGGACCACAATCCTTCCTCCCTGGCTGCCCTTTCTTTACACGGCACAGCACATGCTCAGAATTGGTGCCATTGGCCATACTGTGCTGGACTGACTGCCCAAGGATGCATCCAGGACCTAAGGGCTCTCTGTGCCAGGTGGGCAGCTCAAGAGAGCAGGCAGGGCTCACACAGGGATCCAGGGATGCCATAGTGGGAACCCCAGGAGCCCCTTTCCCACGCAGATACTGAGCCCATCCCAAAGGAGTGTCCAATTCCCTGCCAGGCACAGGGAGCAGCCCTGGGCCCTCCGGGTGTGCAGAGCCCCTTACCTGGGGCAACCCAGCACCGAGAACCACCCAGCACCAGGAAAGTGGTGGAATGGGGGGGATGGCTGCAATGAGAGCAGCCTCACTCAGGAACACCACAACAGGGGGCTCTGCACCCCCACACAGTAACTCCGGCACCAGCGGTGCGTAGCCACGTAGCCATAGGAACATCACTTAACACGGTCACCTTGGTAACTGCGGCTGCACGCTCTCAGCAGCACGTGCAGAGCCCTGTGCACCTCGTGGGGTCCCGGATCCCATAGCCAGGTGCTGCCTGCTGCAGGTTGCACCCATAGGGACAAACGGATGGAGCTGTGTGCCTAGAACTTCCTCCCACCCTATAAGACAGAGCCCAGAACCGGCCCCACACACACAGCTCCAAGGCCAGATGCATGCAAGGATGCAGCTGAGAGGAGCAGAGCCCAGTGCTTGCCCCACCATAATCAGAACAGCCAGCTGCTGCCTCACACCTCCCACAGCACTGCTGGGCACAGCTGGGCACGAACACAGCACACAGAGTTGGCACAGCCCAAGGACAAGTAAAGCTGAGCTTTAGGTTCCTGCACATCCAACTGCATCTCAGCGTGCACCTCTGTGCCCCTGTGGAGCAGCACAGCCCCTCAGCAGTGCAGCCCAAATCCCATGGAGTGCAGTGAGGCCACAGCCCAGCCTGACCCAGCTGGTAGCCAGCACTGCCCCATGGAGACAGGGCTGCACAGACCGCAGGATGGCCCCATACCTGCTGCAAGTAGCACGGAATCGCTGAGACTGGGAAAGAGCTCTGAGATCCCCAGTCCAACCTGAACCCATCCCACCGAGTGCCACATCCCTGTGTTCACTGAACACCCCCAGGGATGGGGGCTCCCCGCTGCCCTGGGCAGCTGTGCAGTGCTGACAGCTCTTTGCAGCACAGGTTGTTCCCAATTCCAACCCTCCCCGCTGCACCCTGAGCCCATCCCCTCCCCTCCCATCCCCATTCCCTGCGCATGGAGACCAACCCCTCCTTCACTCCAGCCTCCTTTCCCCAACGGCACAGCGCTGAGCTCTCTCCACTGAGCACAAGGCAGTGAGAAGCAGGGAACCCAAAACCTCCCCAGGTGACACAGTCCCCACAGTACCCAGCCCACCCCACCGCCGCCACACCGACCGCCACCACCACCACCAAAGGAAGGGTCCCATCACCACCCCCTGGCTCAGCTCACCAACGCACCCCTCATTCATGAGAGTTCTGCCCCCCCCCCCCCTGCATCCCCCACCGATGCTCTGGGCCCCTGCAGCAGGGTGCAGGGCTGTACCTGACCTGTTCCTGGGGACTTGGTGCTGTCCGGGTGCAGCTGCTACCCGGAGCTGCCGTTGGGTGGGAAGCCACCCCAGAAAGCCATCCTGCTGCTGGAGGAGCCCAGGACCCACCAGCGGGGCCCTGCACTGCTCTGATGCCCCGCTTAGCCCCGTTAATAGGATAATGCTGCCTCCATCTGCTTGTCTGAGGCTGAGGCTAATCGCCTCCAGCCCCGTCCCACCCCTCCCAGCAGCACCCAGGGGCACTGCAGGCTGCAGCCATGCAGGACAGATCCGAGCAGGACAGAGCCAGACTCCGAGCTCAGCTGTAGTTCCCCTGCATCCCCCAGGCGAGGGTTGCCCTTGGGATTAGGCACAAAGCCCCGCACTGGGAATGCCTTGGCTCAGCCCAGCTCCCCAGGGTTCTTCTCCCACTGGGATCTGCTGCTCTGCTGCTGAGCATGAAGGACAAATCAGGTCTCGGTCAGAGAGCTGCCTTCCGGGCAGCAATCCGCTGCTAAGTGTTCAGAAATGATGCTGCCACAGCATGGAGATGTGAGTTGTGGATGCCCTCTCGGACAGGCTGGGCTAACTTCACTGAACACACAAGGCAAGAAAAGAACAGCTTGCAAAAATGCTCACCTCTCATTGCAAAAACACCTCGAGCTCACTGCACTGCCCAGCACCTGACAGCCTGTGCTCAGGCAGCTGGCACAGCCCTGCAGCGCTGCCAGAAAGCACCACTAACTGCACAGCTGCTTCGTGGCCCTGAGCTGCCCAGCACAACACAGCACAGTGCAGCATTGCACAGCACTGCACTGCACAGCATGGCACGGCATTGCACAGTGCAGAACTGCATGGCACAGCATGGGGCTGCATGGCATGGTGCAACACTGTGTAGCACAGCACAGCATTGCATGGCACGGAGCAGCATGGCATGGCATGGAGCAGCATTGCATGGCACAGAGCAGCATTGCATGGCACAGCATGGAACAGCATGGCATGGAGCAGCATGGCATGGCATGGAGCAGCATGGCATGGCACGGTGCAGCATGGCATGGCATGGAGCAGCATGGCATGGCACAGAGCAGCACTGCATGGCATGAAGCAGCATGGCATGGCACAGCATGGAACAGCATGGCATGGAGCAGCATGGCATGGCATGGAGCAGCATTGCATGGCACAGCATGGCATTGCATGGCACTGAGAGGCACTGCATGGCATGAAGCAGTATGACATGGCATTGCATGGCACTGCATGGCGTGGAGCAGCATTGCATGGCATGGAGCAGCATGGCATGGCATAGTACAGCACTGCATGGCATGGAGCAGCACTGCATGGCATGGGGCAGCCTTGCATGGCATGGAGCAGCACTGCATAGCATGGAGCAGCA